GTTTGCATTTTCAGAAGAATTGAGAAGATTTATTTTTTCTTCTTATTTTTCTTGACTTGATAAAATTGAAGAAAAAATAGTTTTTAACTATTTTATTTTTCTCTATGTATGACTACGAGCCCTATATATAACTTACAGTAATTTGGTCATTGCTATTGAAGATTCCAGCACCAGCGGAAGCAAAATTAACACCAGTCATGGCGGCGGCCTCTCTCGCATTACTACTTAAGAATGGGGAGAGATACGGTAGCGGTAATGGTAATCCGAATTTTTCAGCTGATCAACAAAGATACAAATAATAATGAATTCCAAAAAATACTTAAAATGAAAATGTTCTTTTTAAATTTCACAGCAACAAATTTCGAATTATAAATGTAGCTAGACACTATTTGTTACTCGTGTAAATTTCGTTCTTCTTTTTTTTCCTAATTTTCCACGTTTAGCCATTTTTCAAAAGTTATTTGAGTGGGTACATATATGTAATTTTAAAAGGAAATTAGGTTGAATAACCCAAAAAAAATTATAATTCAAATTCTAACCAATTAACCTAAATTTTATGGATATAAATATGCCACATAGGTTAATTTTTGTTAGTTTCCTAATTATTATTTTTTTTTTGGTTATTGGGCAAATTAGCCCTAATTTTAATGGATTCCAGAGAAAAAAATGACAAAAGAAAATAAAATTACGACACTCACCAATAATATCGGCAGCGTTTTTGCCGTTACAAAATCTCCCGGTGGGTATTTTGTTAGGAAAATCGATACCATTAGGTGGATAAGCAGCTTTTCTTAAGGAAAATGGTAAGTAATTATTGTTTCCGGCATCAACCAAAGAATCTCCGAACACATATACTCCCGGAATCGAAGCCAATGTTCCTGCTTCTAAACAGGGAATTGAATCGAACCGGAGTAAACCGACGAAAAGGAGGAAGACAGTGAGGAATGGTGTATTTTTCGCCGGCATCTTTCTATATTTTCAGGCTCCGAGGCTTTTGGAGTTGTAAGAGAGATGCACAACTTGGTGTGGTTTCTATAGAGAGAGGAGACATATTTATAACGAATTTGTTTTCTTTGACAAAATTAATAAAATATAATTAAGATTGATAATTTGAAATTAGGAACATATGAAAATGAAGAAGACGAGGCGTAACTAGTTTTCATATCACAATTATCACCAGAACATGCACGTGGATTAGGTAGGCGTAACAATGCCATAAGCACTTATCCCTTACAAATGTGAGTTATGCGTCCAATCACCAATTTGTTTCCTATATCGGATGATTAAGTTTTATTTGCGCCTGATTGCCTACAAGACTTGCTTGATAGGCTAACACGAAAGGCTACTCTTTGCAAGGTTTCTTGTTGATCCGAAAGTCACGTGTCGCATTGTGGTTAGTTAATACCTAATTAAAGAGCTTCCCCAACATCGTGAAATAATACATTTTTCTATTCATTTATTTTTTTCTTGTTTTTATTAGAAATATAAGGATTATAAATGACAGTTCTATATAATTGTTTGATTGATTAAAATATATGACATCGTGAATTATTTCATTACTCCACCAGATCCATAAATTACCCTTCTCCACACCTTTGAATCATATGCCATATAGGTTTCATATGGTACAAATAAAACATAATTTAATATAATGATTAAAAAGTAATTTTGATTTAAATGTGCGTTATCCCTTTGTATAATTGGAGGTACTATTTATTTTCCCGTCGAGTTGTAAGAAGCCATTTAAACTAGAGTTTAGTATTTTGAGTCAATATATAATTGATGTTGGAGCTATAAAAAGGACGATCAATCATTGATCG